TTCATCCTAGGTCATAAAACGTATTTATGGTACATGTCTGATGATCAGTGATTCCATCCAGTGTCCCCAAGCTTTGATTGCAGCTTTTTTTATTATTATTCTTGCTGGGCTGATGCCAGATAATCTGCCAGGAAAAAGTGACTTTGGGGGAGAGAGTGTATTTGGAGGAGAGCATGCAGGAATGACAGAGAGAAGGGACAATGTACCCCACCCTTCCTAAGCCCCCTCACAATTCACCTGAGGGTGCGGCAGACCAGCCCCTTTATATTGCAGCAGATTCTTGGCCAGTCTAGTTGAAGAAGACCAGGGAACGGGCGCTGGCTGAGAGACCCTGGAAGCAGAGGCACCGTGCAAGTCAGAGGAGGTACAAAGAGTCCCAGCTGGCCGAATGCAGTCTTGGCATCTCCTCCTTGCATCACCATGGCACAGAGTGGGGCAAGGCAGGAAGTCTCCCCCATTCCCAGCACCCCTTCCTCCTGGAAGCAGCACAAGACCAGCTCTTGGCAGCAAAAGTGAATTCTGCTATCATTTTCGAGAGCGGTGATTGATTGTTGCCTTTAACGTATTGCTTTAATTACCTGTCCAAGGCTGGGAATATTTCAAGCTGCAGTGGCGTTCATTTCCTAACTTGTTACTAAAATACAAATGTCAGCACAAGCCTTCTCCATAGGCCAGCGATGGAACAGGCTGGCGACGCCTCTCTCTCTTTCCCCAAAGGCTGCCTTAGAACATTGTCAGAGCCTTGGCGTGAACCCTAAAATGGCTGAAGGGGAACCTGGGTCCTCGTTTGACCTCTTCTTGCAACTTGCTCGTTGAGGGGGTATTAAAGGGTGCTGAAAGATATTCTGAACTTTCCAAATGAGGGCAGAAGCCCAAAGAAATGGTTCAAGATAAAAAAAATTGGGCTGCAGTGTGCTGTAGCAAAAATGTGTGCTGGGATTGCCTAGCCTAGAGATGCTCCAAAACATCATGCTGGAAAGGAGAACACACAGGAGGCAATCGGGATTTCACCAGACACATGTGGAAACCTGCATTTCTCTCTAATGACACCCACACCATAGAACAACAAGTGCAAAGAGGCATTTAAAGTGGATTAAAGGGCTCCGTCAGCCAAGAGTGACAAATCCACTTTTTAAAAAAGCCCCAGACCTTTTTGTAGAAGAAGAAGAAGAGTTTGGATTTGATATCCCGCTTTATCACTACCCTAAGGAGTCTCAAAGCGGCCAACAATCTCCTTCTCTTCCTCCCCCACAACAAACACTCTGTGAGGTGAGTGGGGCTGAGAGACTTCAAAGAAGTGTGACTGGCCCAAGGTCACCCAGCAGCTGCATGTGGAGGAGCGGGGAATCGAACCCGGTTCACCAGATTACAAGTCTACTGCTCTTAACCACTACACCACACTGGCTCTCTAGTTTGTAGTTTGGGAAAGGACAGACAACAGCATTGAAAAGCATGAGGTGAATTAGTGGCTAGCAGGAAGGTGTGTCAGCACCCCATGGGCAAATTAGGATGAATGCTCTCTGCCATATAACCATCCTATAAAAAAATCTGAACAAATGCTCAGTAAAGATGGCCTAACCTCCACGTCAGCTCTGGGCCAGCAAAAAGCTGAAAACTGCCCTATTTAGACAGGCCCTTGCAAGATTATTTTTTATCTAAAGCATTCAATATCTATTAACATTTTTTATTATGTTTCGCAAATACTTGTAGACTTATTTTGTTCCAGTTTATATGTTGTAAGCCACGTTGCTATATTCTAAGAAAGAGTGAATAATTTTCAAATAATTGAAAAAAGCAAATCAGAACAAATGTTCAATAGTTGTCTGAAGGGGTCCAGAATATACCTGGTTTGAACTTCAGCTGACAAATGGAGCCTAAAATACCTTTTGAGTCTTTTTGGTGGCATCAGTGCCACATGCGGCCTAGATTAATGCAGGAAAGAAACCTAAATGTCAAGCTTTACATTTCCATTACAGGCTGACTGGAGGAACTGCTTTGAGGGTCATGTGTGAAGTTAGCGCTGTAAGACTGTGTTAAAGAGGATTCCCTGTTTAGGGAAGTTTTTAATGTGTGATGTTTTATCGTATTTTTAATATTCTGTTGCGAGCCACCCAGAGTGGCTGGGGAAACACAGCCAGATGGGTGGGGTATAAATGTTGTTGTTGTTGTTGTTGTTGTTGTTGTTGTTGTTATTGTTATTATTATTATTATTATTATCCCTCCCAGATTCATTCCAATGCAGAAACTAGTTCTGCAGGTTTCCTTTGCTTTCCATGTGATGATGTGGAAAAACTGGACCAATGAGCAGCCCTAAATGTGCATTTTGATTATCGTGACCCATTGGATAATGCTAATGTTGAGCATTTCCCTTCCTTGCTTTCATGCCCAAACAAGTTTCTAAACGCTCTTTAATTTTTAAATTTTGAAAAATCCATAAAAGGACTGTCCCTTATCCTCACAAATGCTCACATAGCTAAGGAAGACGACACTGACTTGGAACAGCGCATCACCCCCAGTTCTTGATTCAAGGGCATTTTCCTTTGGGGCCGAGATTAATGGCCAAGCTGCTGAAGTCACCTCCTCCAGTCCATTTCTCATGTTCCATAGTTATGTGGGATTAGCAGAAGCTGCTACAGCAGGAAATTAGAAAACCAGAGCAGGCTTTTCAGCAAAGCAGGCCAGCTCCCGCACCCACCTCAATTATCCTGCCAAGAGGTTTACTACCAGGCCCTGCCCAGGCTGCTGGTTTTACCCTTCACTCTTCATAGCCTACGAGGAGCGCAGGAGAAGAACCATCTCCTCCAGCGCCAAGTCTGTGCAGTACCACTGGTAGCAACAGGCACCCCATTCTGTTGTCCTCTCTGCGCATGCCACCACCCATGTATAGGGCAATGAGAGTCCCCGCTACCTTACGGTGGCCTCCTTAGGAGTAGGAAACAGCCAACTGAATTCCAAGTCTCCTGCTTGGCAACCCCAGCCCACCACCCCTTGTGCTTTCCCAGGTGCTTGGACCACCACCAGTAGCATGACTCCAATGGTCCAAGCAATGGGTCAGGGGACAATCAGCCCAGGACAGCCCAGAAATCCAGTTCAGCAGTTTTGAACAGAGTATAGGAAACAGAGAAATGTGGAGATACAGTGAGCATGTAAATCAAAGTATATTTAAAAAACTAAAAAAACCTATGCCAGAACCCTGGTCTTCTCATCCTACACTAGGCCAATAGCAGAACGGACTCACCTATCTCGGCAGTTCCAGGATGAGCAGCCCAAGAGGGAGGGAGGTGGTGGGAACCATCCTAAATTAAAGGCTATGCAGCCACCCCCCTTTGCTCCCCAGTGCCCCCAAACCTATAAAAACATTACAGTCATACCTCGGGTTGAAGTAGCTTTGGGTTGAACATTTTCGGGTTGCGCTCTGTGGCAGTAACAGAACGCATTACTTCCAGGTTTCGCCGCTTGCGCATGCGCATGCGCTCAAAATGACGTCACGCGCATGTGCAGAAGCGGCGAATCACGGCGAGCAGACATGGTTTGCATTCTGCTCTGGATGCGAACAGGGCTCTGGAACGGATCCCGTTCGCATCCAGAGGTACCACTGTATTCAGAATTGTGGTTTACCCAACCCACTAAGTAACAGCAACGATGAATTGCCCATTTATTCAAAATCCAATTAAAATTATTTTGTTTAATTAATTGAACAAAATTGATGGACTTGATTGAGTGACACCAGCCAGCTTTTCAAAGTCTGATACTCATTTACACCTCCAGCCCTCCCTTGGCGTCACCTCTTAGCCCAATGCACACCCCACTCAGTGTTGCAGATCAAGGCTCCTGTCAGAAAAGGGGCTGAAGGGTTGGCTCCCTCTGCTTGTTCTACAGCAAGGCGTGGGAAACTGGCGACCCTCCAGAAGGTGCTGGACTGCAACCACCTCTGACCGCTGGCATTGCAGAGGTTAGGTCAGACCCCAAATGGTGGCAGGTGGAGGTGGAGATGCGTAGTCAGTTAGCATTTCCATTGGAAAGGCTAAGTTCTTGTCACTGTGATTTCCTTGGGCAAGGAGTTCCATAGTTCAGTGTACCCCGAGCTAAGTATGGTGGTATCTCGGGTTACATATGCTTCAGGTTACGTATGCTTCAGGTTACAGACTCCGCTAACCCAGAAATAGTACCTTGGGTTAAGAACTTTGCTTCAGGATGAGAACAGAAATCGTGCGGTGGCGGCGTGGCGGCAGCAGGAGGCCCCATTAGCTAAAGTGGTGCTTCAGGTTAAGAACAGTTTTGAAGGTGATTGGGCCGAATCTGGCCCCTGGGCCATAGTTTGCCTACCCATGACGAAGAGGACCTTCTCCACCTGAACGACCTGCCCCCTATACTCAGCCCGTGCTGGCACCTGTGCAGTAGAAAGCCTAGGCGGCCAGCCAGGTGGACTTAGGAGCATCATTGCAGTGAGCTAAGGGTACCAACTTGAACAAAATATTGAGGACCCAGGTAAGCCCCGCCCCACATAATTGATCACATGACCTGGTGCATGCACACAATTTTAATGTCAGTGCCCATTAACTGGGGGGCCACCCCCTCAAATATTTATGGGGGGGGCCAAATAATAATAATTTATTATTTATGCCCCGCCCATCTGGCTGGGCTTCCCCAGCCACTCTGGGCAGCTTCCAAAAGAATATTAAAATACTGTGATACATCAAACATTAAAAGCTTCCCTAAACAGGGCTGCCTTCAGATGTCTTCTAAAAGTCTGGTAGTTGTTCTTTGACATCTGGTGGGAGGGCGTTCCACAGGGCGGGCGCCACTACGGAGAAGGCCCTCTGCCTGGTTCCCTGTAGCTTTGCTTCTCGCAGTGAGGGAACCGCCAGAAGGCCCTCGGCGCTGGACCTCAGTGTCTGGGCAGAACGATGGAGGTGGAGACACTCCTTCAGGGAGGGACCTCGGCCCCTAGAAGCTGGCTCCTAGGCACTTAGTCAAGCCATTGATTTACCTAGCTCAGGATGGCCAACGAGTTGTTTCCGGCGGGGTTATCTGGCAGCCCTGCCTGGAGGTACCCGGACTAACCCTTGGACCTTGTGCCTGCGAAGCAGATCACTGCTTGTCACTGAGCAAGCAGGGAGCAAGCAGGGAGCCCTGAAACCCAGCTGAAGGAGGCGAGGGCAGAGACCCTGGAAAAACCCACCCTTGGTTTGCTGCGGAAGCTTCTGCAATTCCTGGCTTGAGTGGAAGTCGGAGGAGACCCAGCGGAAAGCCGAGGCAGGATTTCGCCTTTCTCTGAAGAAGCTGCCTGGGGGAGGGGGAGGGGCGCGTTCAACGTCACCGGGGAAACCCTGCCAGGAACAAAAACGCAAAGCCGCACCTCCGCACCCAGTCCAGGTTTCTTTTATAGCGCACTGGAAAGAAATAGACCCCGTTTAGTGCAATTGTCTGGTCAGATCAAGAGGAGACACGGATTTAAATTCTCGCGAAATGCGCAGATAGGATCCTCGGTCTTTATTCCTATTTCAAGGATTCCGCCCCATTCGCGGCCCAGTGAAACTTTTCCAGGGAAGAAGAAGAAGAAGAAGAAGAAGAAGAAGAAGAAGAAGAAGAAGAAGAAGAAGAAGAAGAAGAAGAAACCCTGAGGTTCTTGCTCGCTCTCTCCACCCCCCCCCCATCCCCCAAGGGGCCCTTTCTTGTTGGCAATTTCTCCTAGTCAATTGGGGTCCGCCATTTCTTCCTTTCGGTTTGCCAGGCTCTCTCCGGGAAAGGGCAACTTGGCCAAACTTTTCATCACCTGCCCAGCCGAGCCCCCCTCCCTGGGCCTTTCTCCGGGCAGTTAAGCCACAGCTAAGCCTAGGAGATGGCGGGCTGGGAGACGCTGGATGGGCGCTGGAAGCCGCCTGCTTGTCATTCTCGGCCAGCTGGGCTGCCTGGCAGGGCGCTTTAGGGGGGCGAGAGCAGCTTGGAGGGGCGGTTGCGGGGAGGAGAGAGAGACCTCGGCAGATGCCACGTGCTTCGGACCACTGGAAAAAGCCGAGAGGTGGAAATGAGGGAAGCGAAGGGGCGAGTTGCTGCTGTTGCTGCTGCTGCTGCTGCGGGATCTTAATCGGCCCGATAATTCTTCCCTTAAATGCCGGAGAGCGAGTTATAATCCGGAGGCGAAATTTAATTTGCATTGCCTGGAGTAATTTACGACGTTTCGAACTGATGTTCATACATCAATATCAATCGGCGCAGATTTTTGCCACTTAGGAAGATCATCTCGCCTTTAAAACCTGCACAAAATAAAATCGATCGTGGGTGCATTTGCCGCAGATTGCTTGGCTTGGCTCTGCTCGAAGCCAGGAAAAGCGGCGGCGGGGCGAGGGGGCGCGGGAAGGCGGTCCAGAACCTGCCCGGCCTCCCCGAGGAGCCACCGGGGAGGAAGGAGAAAGCCTTCCTAGAAGACAGACCTCTGGGCCGCCGGCACCGCGGGGAAGCCGCCTCGGACGCCGCAGGCGCCTTCTCTGCTGCGTCTCGGGGGTGTCACCGCCTCGTGGCCACAATCCGCCCTGGAGCTGCCAGGGATTAGTGGAGCAAAAATGGCCAAGCAGGGAGCTTCAGGCTCCTCACTCGTCGTTCGTTCCCAGCAGAAATGATCAGGGGAAAAGCGGGGTAGAAAATCCCGTAGTCTTATACAGCCTCGGCTGTAACATATAGGATGGACTCATAATTATTAGATAATAAAATATAATAAAAAATAACGAAATATATTTCATAACTGCATTACAAAAATGCATGCAACCTCCCAGTTCCAGCCACGAGGATTGCTTTGCGCGCGCGCACCGACTTCCCTCTCGAGGAAAGGGCGTGTCGAGTGATTCCGAGATCAAGGGTTGTTTCCTTACAGTATCGATCTATGCAAATCCCCTCCCAATAATCGAAGGGGAATCTCTTCTCTCCCCGCCCAGCCGCCCTCCCCACGGAAGCAGCCTCTTGGCAGCGGGAAAGCCGTCCAAAGCGCCTCCAGCCGGGCACTCATGAAAGGCAGGACGGAGCAGGGGGTGATGCGCACGCTTTGCGCAACTTTTGCCGCATCCTTCCACGACTTTTCCCGGCAAGCGCTGTTCTTGCTTGTGAGCCTCGACGGCTCGGGTCTCCTCAGCCTTGGACTTCCCCCAGTCAAAGGGCCGTTTCGCCAGCCTCAGTTTTGCGGGCTGTTAAAAGCTTTTGCCGGGTTGCAGGCAGCAGGCCGAGCCCGGAGGGAAACAAGAGCTGTCTTCCAGGGCGAGAAGCCAGAGCCTCCAAAAGCCAGGAACTTCCTCGCCTCTTCCAGGCGCCGCTGCTCAGAAGCGCACAGGCGCCACCTGCGCGAGACCTGCGCGCTCCTCCACCACCGCGCCAGGCCAGCCTTTCACCAGGGAGTTCAGCCCGAACAACTCGCCTCGTTTCTCTTTCCATCCACACAGCCGAGAGACCCTGCAGAGAGAGAGCCAGCTGTGCCCAATGCCTCTCCTACGTAACAGAGACCTGTGGGGTCAAGGAGGTGGAAGAAACCCCTTCCCAGGCCAGCCATTCGCCTGACCCTCCTCGCCCTCGGAGGTGCCAGCTAGGGAAGCTCCCGACTTTGGCTTCTGGAAAATTTTGTGGGCAAACCGTTGGCTATTACTGTATTTGCTGAAAAGCAAAGCAAAAGAACACGTCCAAGGGGCAGGCGGGCGGGAGGTCCAAAAATCAACACAGTAACGAGCTCTGTTTGCAAGGAATTATGCGCTGAACGCGATCCAAAGGGACCTGCAGCCACCACCTTGGACATTAATCCGGACAGACTGGAAGACACTCCGCGGCGCACGCGTGTAAGAGGAGGCCTCCACGCTAGAAGGAGCAGGACAGCAGGAGGACCGAGAACGTTTGGGTGAAAACGCCAGAGCTGCAGCCATCGGCCGCCGCCTCTTGCAGTGGCCACACGTGTGTGTGTGTGTGTGTGTGTGTGTGTCTGCCGCAGCCCCTTGGCACAACCGTGCGGCTCCGGACGCGAGGAGAGCGCGTGGTAAACGCTTTCGGCGGGAGGGGGGCTTCCCACGTGGCCCCGATTCCTGCCCCATCCTGACGCGCCACAAAGCGCTGTAGGCCAGCTCTGCGCCTCGGAAGATCAGCCGGATCCGCGGCCAGGGAGCGACAAGAAAAAAAGGCCGCGCGGAGAGGTCCCTCCCTCGCTCCTGAAGGCACCGCAACGACACTACACACCCCTCTCCCCCAGTGGCCACCCCCCCCACTCCATCCTCAATCTTCGGGCTGGTGCGCTTTGTTTGGGAACGGTGCAGGGGGCGTTTTGGCCGAGCTGGCCGAAGGGGAACAAAGCCGAGAGAGCCCCTTGCGTGTGCAGCCCCCCACCTCGCGTCGGCCCGCTGCTGCCTCCCTCCCACCCCATCCCCGCCGCTCACCTGCCAGCCTGAGCGCGGACATCCTCTGGAATTCGGGCTCCTGTAGCCACTTCCACATCCTGCGGAAAGTCTCTCTGCCGGACTTGAGCTTGCTCCAGGGCTTGGGGTTCCTCAGGAGGTCCGAGAGCGTCCCCTGGGAGCGGCAGAGGACGCGCTGGGCGAAGATGGCTTGCGGGATGCTGTAGCGCTTGAGCTCGGTGGTGATCCTCTGGGCGACTTCTTTGGTGTTGATCTCCTCCATCTGCCCCGAGCCGCTCCCGCCGCCGTTGAGCTGCCCGGAGGCCGCCGCTGCTGCTCCCGCCGCCGCCGCCGCTCCCGGGTGGGCTTCCCGGGGCCCGGCACCCAGGATCTGCCCGTGGCCCGGCGCGCTCAGGTGGGCGTGGGGGTGGTGCGGGATCCCGTGGAGAGGCCCCATGCCGGGAGCAGAGGTCGGCGTCAGGTGCTGCTCGCCGTGCCTGGCCAGCAGGGCAGGGTGATGCGCTTCGTAGCCGTTGGGGGCCAGCATCTTCTCGGCGGCGGCTCCCGGGTGCGCGTAGTGGGGGAGCCCTTGCTGGGAGCCGTGCAGCCCGCCCAGGCCGGAGCCGGAGAGCGGAGAGAGGCGCTGCCCCATGCCGGGGACGTCTTTGGTGTGGTAGGGCGAGTACAGGTTGTTCATGGACGCGGCCAGGCTCCTTTCGTCCCGCATGAGGGTGAAGCTCCCGCTCACGTTGCCCGACAGCCGCTGGTGAGGATGATGGGGGTGCTGAGACGGGTGGTGGGGGTGGTGGGGGTGATGGTGATGGTGGGGGAATTTGTCCGCGACGGTGGAGATGGGCGGGAGCGGCTGCAGGGGCGTCAGGGTGGTGTAGGTGCTGCTCATGCTCAGGCCAGGCGGGGTCTCGCAAGCCATGGTGATGGTGGGGTGCAGAGGGCCCCCCAAAGGGTGCTCCGCGCCGCTCCGGTGGTGCGCGTAGTCCCCTCCGTCCAGGAGGGCGGCCATGCCCAGCGGGCGAGCGCCGTGGGCCAAGGGGTTGCTCTGGCCGCCGCCGCCGCCGCCGCGGGGGTGGGCGTTCCGGAGCAGATCGGGGCCCGGCTCATGGCTCACCCCGTGGAGGTCGCCCAGAGTCTCCATCGCCAGTTGGGTGTTCATGCTGGCCGCGCGGGCGGGCGGGCGGCGCGCACATCTATCTGGCTTGGGGTGGCCCGCGAGGCACCGAGGAAGCGCTTCCCTTGGCCGGCTCGCCTGCAACGCCGGCACCTTCCCTGCCCCCGAGGCCGCTCCGAAGCTCGCTCGCTCGCTCGCCCGGCCTGGGATGTTGCTGGCTAGAATTTGGGTTTTATTCCAGGGGGAGACGCGGCTGGGGAGGGGCTTCCTTTGGTGTTGGGAATGAGCCCCCGGCAGCTGCCTCCCCGCCGGTCTCCCTAGAACAGCCTCAGCCGCGCCGCCAGTCGGGCTCCGTGCGCCTCCCTCGCCATCGCCAGCTCTCCCGCTTACTGTTTCAGTGGCTTTGGTGACGGGCTCCGCGGTTGCAGCTGCCGGGGTTGGGAGAAAGCGGACATGCGCGCTGGGGACTCACGCAGCGCCTCCCCCCCCTCTCTCTCCGCCCCCCCCCACCTGCGCGCGCGCCAGGACCCACACACTCACACGTGCCTGCTGCTGGCGCGCGCGCAAGACCGGCTAGCCCAGAGCAATGCTGCGCTCTCCCGTCGGAGGCTGAGAGTGCCAGGCACTGACCAAGAATGTGTGTCGCGGTGTGTCCATGGAGGAGGGCGCCCGGAGAGGCCGCCCCTTATTCTCCCCCCGCCCGCCCCAGGCTTGGGACTGTCCCCGAACTTCCCGCGGGTCGTGGCTCAGCTTGCCCTGAGCTCCACGGGAAGGCGGCGTCTCCCTCCGGCGCCGCTGGGTGCTCCATCCCCTCGGCGACTTCCCGCTTCCAGCAGAGAAGCTGCGCGCAGCTCCGGGCGGCCGATGGGAAGACTCCCTCGAGGGTTTTTCACGCCTGGAGAGCGCCGGTTGGGAGCGGATCGCAGTCTCCGCTGTTGCCGGAGCAGGAGTGGGCGGGGACGAAGGCAGACGAAGCCGGGAAGAGGGAGTCAGAGGCGCCCCCGTGGTCACTCCTTCGCCATCAAGAAGACTGCCATCCCGTGCCACACATTTACCTGGGAGGAGGGCCCCCTAGAAGTCAGTAGGCGGGGGAAGGGTAGCTTTCTCTGGCAACCCTTTTATCTAGCACCGTATTACCAACACTGACCGGCAGCAGCGGCTGTCCAGAGGTTCAGGCAGGGCCTCCGCAGGAGATTCCGGCGAGAATTGAACCTGGGACGCACAGCAGGCGCTCCACCCACTGAGCCACTGTGGGCGTAGCCAGGATTTATTTTAGGGGGGCAGGCTTTATGTTAAGGGGGAGCAAAACCGAGTAATCTGCGACGCAGTTGGTCAGTTAGATAAATATTTTTATATATTTACTTGATTTAGGGGGGCATCTGCCCCCTTGCACTCCCCTGGCTACGCCCATGTGAGCCACAGGGACCCAGTGGCGTAGCGTGGGGGGTGCAGGGGGGCCCGGCCGCACCGGGCGCAACATCTGGGGGTTAGGGTTAGGGGGCGCAAATCCACTGGTTATGGGGCGCAAATCCATGGGTTAGGGGGCGCAAATTACTTGCCTTGCCCCGGGTGCTGACAACCCACGCTACGCCACTGCAGGGACCTCCCCCTTCTCTTCAGGCTGGTGTCCCTCCTCTCTCTCGCATCTCCTTCCAAAGAGTGGGGGGGTACCTGCCGCCCCTCCCCTGCTTTATTTTCACAACAACCCCATGGGGTAGGCTTGGGGCTGCAACAGGCTCACAAGCGTCCAGACATCCACTCCTCCATCTCACGGGGGCGGCTTGTGGTTGGTCTCTGCCCCTTTCTGTCACTAGAAAGAGCCCTGAAAAGAAGTCATCGAAGCTTCCTCGCGGGTCTGATTTGCTTCCTGAGTCCGCCAACCTGTCTCTAAACCAAGCGGTGCGAGATATCAGGGCTTCCAGGGGCTGACCTAGGGTTGGAAGGACCTTGCACAGCGCACTTCCTCCACTCTAAACTCGTAACAGTATGAAAACGGTTTTTGGTTCAGAGCGCCAGGTTGGAGGAATGAGCCTTTGTTGCCTCCTCCTTGGGCAGATCCACCTTACATGTTTAAAGAGTTTTCAGCCAACTTTGAAACACATGACTTTCCCCCAGGGAATCCTGGGAAGTGCAGTCCTCTTCCTAAGGGTGCTTCAGCTGGGGTGGAGGAACATGTGGGATGGGCTTTAATGGGTAGGAGAGGATATAGTAATTGCAATTCATTCCTCCAGGTGTCCACATGTGTGGGTTGAACAGAGTTTCAAAATTCCCTTCATTGGCAGCAAAATTTAAAGCATAGGAATCAGGCTGTAAAACCTTGTTTTGAGTAAGTCCATCTATGCAGTAAGCTGGCTTCCCCATTCTTACCCCACTTAACAAAGAATCAGGCAATAACTTGTGAAGTAAGTTTAAAAATAAGATTTACTTACTTTGGTTTACAGCAACAATAGCATTAAAAACTGTGCAGGCAAAACACTTATATTTACAGTATAACCAGCTTCAGCCAGATGCCTTGAAGCTGGAGCAAGCAGAGGAATGTCTGCATCCAGTGCTGATCGAAGGGAGGGACAGAGAGGAACAGGAACTGCTATATGCTTCTTCCTCTCCAGGAGAGGAGAAATGACATCACATAGAGCCCTCTCTGCCAATTGCATTTCTATGGTCTGAGTGCCTATCAGTAAAACTGCTCTGTGGACCTGGCCCCTTCTCATGCTAACTAGCAAGAATGTGTATTTGTTAAGTTTGGCTGCTAATCTCCCAGGGAGCGGGTGCATTCGGAGGAGGGGGCCAACCCAATCCATTCCAAGGGCAAAACTCAGACTGAGAAGGAGGATGAAGCTGCCAGCCAGGACCACCTCCTGGGCTGATTGTAAGAAGGCAGGAAGGTGGAGGGGGGCTGGCTGAGGGCAAATTGAGGCTGGTGGGTCAGTGCCCCCATTCTCCTTACTGGGCCAGTCTCTGCTGCATTGGCACCAGTATATGTGGGGTGTGTGATGCTGCCATGTGGCATCCATAGCACTTTCCCTTTTGCAACAGCAAAAAGGGGACATTCCACATGTGGAACACATTTATGTTATGAGCACAACAATGGGGCAACCAGGAAATTTTGAGAGCACAAGGTTTTCAGTTGGACAATAAGAGCATTTGGTGTGGATGGGGGGCTCCAAGTCAGTTAAGGGTCATGGCCAATGGCTGCTAGACCTGTTATCCCAGGGATGGCCAAAGAGTACCTCAGATGGACCCCAAAATGGTGCCTCCTCCCTGCCAGAGAAGAAGGGGTGAGGGTAAATCTACATTGGGACAAAGGGGTAAAAAGGATGGTCATTTGGGATCTGCTGCCCCAGTGGATCCAGCTGCCTGAGGCAATCACAGTTGCCTCAGTTTGCCTCTTGGTTGGGCTGGCCTTGTGTCCTCTAAGAAAGCCTCAAATTTTCTGTTTTTTCACTGCTGTGCTGTATTGCATTGTTTTCAGTGATCCTCCCTTCAGAAACACAAGACCTATTTCCTGCATAGGCAGTCCAGACCCCATCAGCATAATGTGAAGTATGGGCTTGTTTATTTTGCCTGCATCATCTTGCACTTATTTGCATTGACTATTGTCTTGCAATGTCCTTTCTACAGTGGCCAAGTTGGTGTTCTTTGCCATCAGTTTTGAATTCCATGTCATGTATGCATGAGTTGAATACCACACTCCCTTCTGTTAGGAAAACAGTTGGTTTAATTTTTGCTGCTACATTGTACAATTTAAGCAGTTACTGGTCCATAAGAGAATCTTGTGGTTTCTCTTAGGAGCAGTTGGTGAGAGGCTTCCTCAAAACCATTTGCAAAATCCAAATATTGAATGGCTACTATTGTCTGTTGTCATGGATGGATCACTCCCTGGTGACATTTGGATTGAATGTTTCAAGGGGACCGCTCTCCATGCACTGTACCACAGAGACTTACGGCATCTGATGGATTCCTGATTTCTTTGGGGATTTTCCAGTTGACGTGGCTGGCATTTCTGTTGAGACTTGTCTCACTATGGAATGGTGAGATGCATAGGACCATTGATTCAGTTGCTCCTGAGTGCCATCCCTGTTGCAGTGGAGCATGCAGAGAACATTGGAGTGACCTGTATCTGATGAAACAGGGGGGCCAATGGCTGCAAAATAGGTGGTGTAAGTTGTGGAGTGGATATATTAATTAAAATTTCCCTTCAGTCTCCCAGGTGTGTGGGTTTAAACGGAGTTTTAAAAATCCATCCTTGACAGCATGAAATCTTAGGAAAATAAGCCACAAAGCCTCCTTTTATTCTGAGCAATTGCAGGTTATGAAATAAGTTAGCTTTCCTTTTTTTTACCTTGCATAACAAAGAATCAGGCAACAACTTACGAAGTAAATCTTAAAAATAGTGTTTTCTTACTTAATGTTCTTGCATTGGTTCACAGCAAAGGCAGCAGTAAAAAAATATGCAGGTACAGCATTCTTAATTACAAAAATACAGAGGTTAGTTTCTAAAGTCCGTCTTTGTGCCTGGATCCCAGGAACATGTCCAGTCAGCGTCAGAATCATGGTGAAAAGAAGACACACAGAGAGAAAACAACAGGAAAAGGGTTTATATCTCCCATTACTAGAAACGGGAAATGACATCACGCAGAGCTCTCTCTCCATCCGTTACATTCCTGTGGTCTAAGTCTGCCTATCAAGCTGCTCTGGTTGTTTGCCCTTAAACTTACTATCTTGCAAGGGTATGCATTTGTTTAGTTTGACTGCAGTCTCCCACATAAATGCCCATCTGAAGCTGACCGAACATGGATGAGAGCACATTATAGCTCATAACTATGTTGGTGGTGGTGAAGAAAGCTTACTTTTTCACCACCATTGTATCAGGCAGAGCTGTTTCAAGTGAAGAATGGGATTTTGCCATCTGATTGGGAAAGCATTGCTCTGGCCCCCTACTGAAGCTTGCTATGACAATTTTGCAGAGCACTTTAGGGCACTGGTGTCCAAACTTTCTTCAAAGAGGGCCAGATCTGATGAAGTGAAAGGCCGTGAGGGCTGACCAAAGGGCCAATCAAGGTTGTTGACCTTTTTCTTAGGATTGAAGCTGTTGAGGTTTTTTTTATGATTTTATCCCAGGAAATAAACTGCCACAGGGGCTGGATTAAACTGACTGGTGGGCCGGATTAGGCCCCCAAAGCAGACTTTGGACAGGCCTGCTTTAGGGAAAAGGTTGTTCAGATTCAGGCAGAAATGGATGCCACAGTTAAAGTAAGTCATACAGAGATATCCAGAGCATTACCTGTTCCATCTGTACAGGATCAGTTTCAGTTATTGCAGCCTGAGGATGAAGACTCACTCCTTGTTCGACAGCCAACCACCTGCCCTCTGTATCCTTGTCCATCTTAGTTCACCAGAGCTCACCAAAATGGGACGGGGAGGTACCATCCACCTTGAAGGAGCTAGTGGTGCCTCCCCTTCTTAAGAGAACCTCATTGTTATTATTGACAGCTGCACGAATTATAATAGCTAGGAAGTGGAAGGGGCAAGCAGAATGTAAAATGGAAGAATGCTACAAAGAAGTTTGTTTGGGATATAGCGATTAATGATAAATTAACATGTGCCATTGAGGTAAGAAGGGGGAATATGTAGGAGAAATGATTCTGAAGAAATATGGAGGGTGTTTGTAAAATTTGTACTGTTAAAACGGAAAGGGTTAAACCAGCGCAAGAGGTGTCAACGTTTTGGGAGGTTGGAGAGTTATAATGGAACAGTCTTGGTGGTGGGGTGCACATTTATGTATGTTTATTAATTTAATAATAATAACAAATAAATAAAAGGGGGAAACACTTCCATCAGGGATAGGTGAGAAGAAGGCATAAAAGAAAGAAAGAAAGAAAGAAAGAAAGAAAGAAAGAAAGAAAGAAAGAAAGAAAGAAAGAGTGTATTAGCTGTTAGGATGTGGCTAAATTTTCAGAACTCCATGGGCTGAATATCACCCCTTGAGATTAATTCATTCTTATCCTGGGGCAGATTCCCCCCGCCCCCCCGCTCTGCCCTGTGCTTCTGTCAGACTGCATATTTCACATTAAGATGTGATCCCGCATTAAACTAAGCAGAACAATTAGGTATTACTTCTACATTTATGTGTGTACCTTTATTGCATTCTGTCCTGGCTTTTAAGTATTTTTAAATATTTGTCTTCTGAATGTCCGCAAATTTAGAGCTGCATATGGTAAAATTAATTAACATGTATAAATAAACAATTGGGCAGCGTCCTCTTCCTCATCAGAGAGAGAGAGAGAGTGGGGGGGGGGGACCTCATTAGAGTTCAGAGCATTTGACAATGATCTCCTGGTGGTGAATATCCCCTTTGGGGGCAAGGTGCTCAAGAGTGTGGGGTGACCCACCTGCAGTTAAGCTTGGAGGAAGCTAATTATCCGGACTCATTTCAGTTTCATTTTGAAATTGCCTTGGTCCTCCTGGCTGATGATCTGTGTCAGTAGTGTGTGTTTGTGTCTGCTTGTTCTCCTTGACCTCTCAGCAGCTTTTTATGTCATTTACCACAATATCCTTCTAGAGTGGCTCCAGGAGGTGGGGTTGGGGGGTTGGGGCAGTGGTTATATTTCTATTTGGGGGGGGGTGTTTCCAGAAAGTAGTGACTAGGGGGCTATTGCCTGGCACCATGGGAGTTGTCCTGTTGTGTCCAACAGGATTCCATCTTGTCCCTCATGCTAGTTAAACATCTATTGTCATCAGGAAATTTGGAATGAGGCACCACAGATGACCACCAGCACCCCACCCTCACTTTCACCGGTGGCTCAGGTGATAGACGTGTGCTTGGAAGCAGTGATGGGCTGGATATGGGCCAATAAGCTGAAGTTGAAGCCTGATAAGACGAAGATGTTCTGCTTCCTGAGTTCTTGGTTCCAAGAGGTGGGGAGATGCCTGCTCTGCGTGGGGTTGTACTTGCCTGGAAGAAGCAGGTCTGTTGTTTGGGTTACTCCTGGACCCAACATTTTAAGTGGAGAACTCAATTGGCACCTTTTGAATGAAAGTGACTGGGTCACCGTGCTCTATGATCTGGTAACTTTCAGACTGGATTATTGCAATACACTCAACTCGGAACAGCCCTTGAACAACTTAGAAATGCCAGCTGGTCTAACAATGCAGGAGCCAGGCTGGGGTTCCTTTTGATTTGGGGGCCAATTCAAATTGCTCACATTAGTGTTTAAAGTCCTAAGCACCTAAAACCACAAATATAGATCAGCTCCTTTTCTATACACCACCTCAGGTGTAAAAATCAGCAGAGGGGGCCTTATGGTAATTCCATCGCCCTTGGTGGGTTTTTTTTTTTGAGGGGGGGACACTCAGGAGAGGGCATTTGCTATGGAATTACCTCCTCACAGATGTACACCTTGCACTTCCATTGTATAGTTTTTGTCATTTGCTGAAGACACACTTCTCTGTCCTTTGACATCTGAGAGAGATATTTTAGAACTCAACGTATTCTTCTGATTATGAATTGTTTCAACATTTTAATATTGCATTTTTACATTATTGTAACCCACCCTTCCGTAAGGTATAGGACAGGTACGAGATCATCAACATTCCCTATCTAAATGTTTGCTGATACGCTTAACAATAATTGTGAAATGTTGGTGAGGTGGGCTTTCCCGTAGCCAAAGCTGAGCTGATTCTTCCTCAGGAAGAGATGGAAACATCCACAAGAGTATATTGTGGAGCTCTGTAGCTATAAAACCTGATCAATAAATAATAAATCACACACACATGTAGGAAAGCAGGCACCATCGTGAGCACATGCAGAACATCTGCAAAGACCCTTAAGAGATTCTTGCAGTCAATGTTATTTTAAAAGTGGATTTTTCATACAATTTGCATTTCAAGTAAGTTTCTCTACAGGTTAGTTTTTCCCAAACAATTGCTTTCACTGAGAAAACAAATTGTGCTCCCCTCCCCCAAACTAACTCCTTCACTCTCCAACTGTTGTGTATGTGTTTGTTTGTTTGTTTGTTTGTTTGTTTGTACACAAAGCCTCCTGTGGGTGGGGGTAGTAGGTCCATCCCCTCCAGGCAAGAGGCTGGTGGTAATTGACAGCTTCAGCAATTGACTTTCCCTGGCCAAACTGGCGAAAGGATACAGCTGCTGGAATTGTGTCCTTTTGTGTCTCTTGTCCTGGTCCCATGGTGCCCAGGCCATGGTACCTGTTCTTGGAGATACCCATTTGTTCTCTCACCCTCCATGTTAAGGAGGCAAGGAGCTGTGATCCATGCTGATGAAAATTGTTTTGGTAAATGTTCAAGGCTGAAGCTCATTAGCAGTATTCTTGACTACTGCCCAATGGTGAGGGAAGAAATGGTGCCTTTGTAATATTTTAGTCTTGATGTTGTCTCTTATGGGACTGATCCAAGAGCACAAACTTCTCACTTGGTTGCTTGGACCAATTTCTATTTTGGTAGCGAAATACAATGCATTTAATAGAATGTCCTTACCTTGTTTGAGGGTCTCTGATTATCAGCTTTAAGCAGAACCTGATTAAGCTTGAATGCAGAAGCTTTGAATTTCTCTGCTGCCAAACCCAAGTGGAGTGACCAGCCAGAGCCTGCAGTTCCTCCGCTTGAAACTGATCAATGCTGCTATGTGAATTTCTATTGATGGCGGGTTTCAAAGAACAGCAAGGAAACAAAACATCCAGGTTATTATTATTCATTATCATTACAGCCACAGCACAGGGGAAACAGAATCTCTCTCTCTTTGTGTGTGCGTGTGCGTGTGTGTGTGTGTGTGTGTGTGTGTGAAGGCAGGTCAAACAGTGCAAAGACAAAGGGGTAGTGGAGGGCAAGGCAAGCCAGTTCAATGGAAGTGAAGCCTGGGTATTGTGCAACTCTCTGAAATCTGCGGGCCTTTCCAGCCTCTGGGTTTTGCAAGGGCTATTTATTCACAGCTGATAAAAGACTTCTTTGCTGTGCTTGGGATAGCGACAGCTTGCTGTGGTCAGTAGATAGAGGTTGTTTCCCTTTGCATAGAAGGATATGTCAAAGGTGAAGCTTGAAGACTCCAAAAGCCAAGGGATGCCAGAAGGAGATTAGCACTGCTGACACTTTCCCCCATTGAGGAGGAGGAGGGGAAATGGTCAGGGGCAGAAATGGGAGCTTTATGAGGCTGGAACAAATGGGGGGGGAGGGTATCCACATTTGACACATGTAGCAATGAGTGCAGACAACTGTCCAGTGACCAACAAGGTTGAGCTCATTCTTTCTCCTAACCATGCAAGCCTTAGAGCAGTGATGGGAAACGCCCAGCAAAATGAGTCCCATCATTAATTTGGTCCATTAGGCCATTTCCCCCAAGTCATGCATACACATGAAATCATTTATGATATCTTGTGTGAAGCAAGTAAAGACAAGCTCCTCAGTGGGTCCCTGACAAGTGGGGCTTGTCCTCAGCACCTTTTATACTTGGTACCAAAAGCAAGCCCCACTAGGACTAGGTTTCAGTCTTAACTGGTGCTGCCAAGGGAAACTGACTCCTGCCAAAAGCAGGGCTTAAAGTCCACAGCGCCAACCATCTGACCAGCAGTGCCCGTCATGCCCCACTTGAATCAGCTGTGACCTTCCCTTGCAGTAGGACTTGAACACCAGCCATGCTGAAAAGTGTGGGATTTCCAGTCAAAATCACAAATGCACGATTGCCAGACAGGCAGATGAGGGGCTGATGCTCAGAGTTCCTGAATCAATATAGAAGGGACTGTATGAGGTCACTTCCTTAGTGCTTTGGTGGGAATTTCTAACAAAGGAGATAATCTTATGTACTTCCTCCCTGTCTGAGCTCTTTCTCTCTTCTTTCAAGCCAGCAATGGGAGCAGACACACATGCCTGGGCTCTGCTCAGAGCCCAGACTCCATTTTGGAAACGCCTTTTGTATTTTATAACTAAGAAGTAATTTTACCTGCATACTACTACTCTGATGTATTTGCTGCCTGCACTTAAATGTAAGTAAACCCTTTTGTTTATCATACTAAAATGTGTGGTTCATTCTTAGCAATGGGTGATAAAGAAGGGAAGGTCAGCAGACCACAAACAAGAATATTTTTTTTAGGAATTTCCTAAATACTAGCTTCCAGTAAGCTGCAAAAGCACATACATGTTTTTACGCTACTAGAAAGGTTTCACAGCCTGTTTACTCTCATATTTCTCCCACACATTTGGGTTTCAAGGGTCTAATTCTGTTACCAGGCATTGTCAGCCTGAAGATAAGCCACCTCCTTCAGTACCATGGAACTGTCTAGTAGCATGGTACTAGTGGTGTCTTAAAGCTTAGGAGGCAGAGGGTGTGATTGCTTTCATGGCAAAAGGTGCACTTAATCAAGTTATTTAAAAAGCAGAAACACAGACACAGAAAATGCTAGCTAGCTAAATGTAAGGTATGGCTGATATTTGTTAGTTACTATAGGCTGAATCCAGTGCTCTGGGTCTACAAGCAGAAGGACTCCAATGCAAGAGCTATCCAGCTCAACAGTTATGCTAATAGAACTCGTGGCACAAGGGCTAAATCTGTTGTGCAGCAACATTAATAGCAACCTGCTTCTGCATTCTGTTGTGCAACAATGTTCCACTGGCGCAAAACTTTTCACCAGAGGAGTGAGGAGGAGGAGAAGCAACTTTAACTTAGCCCTACATTGGATTCCTCCAGACAAAAGGGGGCCCAGTGACCTAGCAATTGGGAGACAAGTACAGTAACCTCGGGTTACAAACACTTCGGGTTACAGACTCCGCTAACCCAGAAGTAGTACCTTGGGTTAAGAACTTTGTTTCAGGATGAGAACAGAAATTGGGCGCTGGCGGCACAGCAGCAGCAGCAGCAGGCCCCATTACCTAAAGTGGTACCTCTGGTTAAGAACAGTTTCAGGTTAAGAACGGACCTCCGGAATGAATTACGTTCATAACCAGAGGTACCACTGTGCTAGGATCCAGCTGCTGAATCTCTTTTTAAAATACTGTATTTTTTGCTCTATAAGACTCACTTTTTCCCTCCTAAAAAGTAAGGGGAAATTTGTGTGCATCTTATGGCGTGAATGCAGGCTGCGCAGCTATCCCAGAAGCCAGAACAGCAAGAGGGATTGCTGCTTTCACTGCGCAGCGATCCCTCTTGCTGTTCTGGCTTCTGAGATTCAGAATATTTTTTTTCTTGTTTTCCTCCTCCAAAAACTAGGTGCGTCTTGTGGTCTGGTGTGTCTTATAGAGCGAAAAATACGGTACCACTAGAAGCAACCAGGATGAATGACTGGGCGACATGACCTCGTCTCCCTGCTTGAAGTGCCTCATGTGAACCACATACTGAAGTTTCCAAGCAACAGGAGGTAAGCTGCTTTCTTACCAAAACCACACGGACGACCAGAGTACAATCCTCAGAGGAGACAAAGAGCAAGCGATGTGGCTGTCTCAGCAGAGCTGATGAGTAGCAGCTGGGCGGCCAAGGGACTCCTTTATGCACCACATCTCACCTGTCTCTCTCAGTGAGCAGAGGCCACGTGGACCTGGCAGAATGCTGCCCCCCCACGCCTTCCACACAAGACGAGAAGCCAGAAGACCACCACTCCAGCCAACACAGCGGTAGGAGTGGTGGTCTTCTGGCTTCTCGTCTTCTTAGTTTCCTGGTTGCTGGAAGCCCAGCGCCCACCCAGTCTTTACCAGACAAAAGATTCTGTTTAGGGAAGCGTTTAATGTTTGATGCATTACTGTATTTTAATATTTTGTTGGAAGCCGCCCAGAGTGGCTGGGGAAGCCCAGCCAGATGGGAGGGGTATAAATAATACATTATTATTATTATTATTATTATTATTATTATTATTATGGCACATGCGAATATAAAGCACCTGATTTGCAAATGTTGAAGCTGGGAAGTGAGGAATCGCAGCATGGAGTCCTTCTACCCTCAGTTCCCTCCGTAAGTGGCAACAGCAGCAGCAGCACGTGGCAGTAAACGGAGCCTGGTTTTCAAGGGACAGGCTGATCTCCTGCTTGTGACGTCATGAATAATGTCTCTCTGTTAGCAACGGACAGACATATACAAACCTGACCATTCAGACTAGAAGACACCAATACTTTTCCTGACAGCTTTCTTCGTGGATGTCTTCATAGAGAATCAACATTCTATTGCTTTTGAAATTTGTTTGTGGGAGCGGGGTTATTGTTATTGTTTTATTATGTATTTTGTATTCTCATTTTGTATCTTTTTGTTGTGAACCGCCCTGGGACCTTAGGATCAAGGGCGGTATGCAAATTTAATGAATAATAATAATAAACTGCTGTAATTAAGAATTTCCTTTCGTTGACCCTTTGGTATAGTATTGCTGGCTACCAAGGGGGAAAATGTATATATATATATATTTGCTACACACTGTTGCCACTTAATATTAATATAAACAATAACAACAAGGAGAAATGGCCCCGGAACCTATTTCCCCCTGCTAGCTGAAAAACTGCAAGCAAGTCTCGTTCTGTCCCCTGCCTTTGGCTTGGAGAGACCAGCCGTGCCTGAGGTCCTGATGCCTCCACCGGCCTTTCAAAGGGGGCGGCAGGCGGCCCAGGAACGAGCCCGCGGCGATGCGGACTCTCTCTGAACTCTTCCCGGGCCGTCCTGTTATTGAGGTCCCTCTGACTGGCAGAAGACAATGTCGCCCGCAGGTCGGTCTTCTGGGCCAGTGGCAGAGAGTTAGGATCAGCCTGCCTTCGCCCGCGAACTCCCTGCTTGATGGAGTGGCAAAACGGGTCAGGTTTGAGCAAAGAGCAAATCCTGCCCTCAGAAGGTCCAGAGCTGGGGATTACGATTAGATTACGCAAGCGGGGGTAGGAGAGGAGAATGGATCCCTTTTGCAGGAACTTCTGGATTGTTCTTTTCAAGCAAGAATGTCCTACGTGTAACGATACCGAAGCAAAGGACCAGATCACTTTCCCGAGCTCATAGCTGTCAACGTTTCCCTTTTTTTAAAGGGAAATTCCCTTATTCCGAATAGAATTCCTCGCAAGAAAAGGGAAAAGTTGACAGCTATGCCCGAGCTCCGTTAGAACAAAGAAAGCCGAGCGTGAGAGAGACAGACAGACAAACCGAGAAACGAATGGGCTTAAAAACCCAAAGGGACGGAGAAGCTTGAGAAGGAAAGAGCCTGTCCCATTTGGAGTCAAGAGAAGCTCGGCTCTGTGGCGGATCAAGGCCCTGATGTGCAGAAAGCGGCTTCTTCAGAAAACTTCACGCGGGGTTTTCTCAACTACAGCAGCTATTACTCTGCAACATTTGCCTCCAGATCTTCTGTGGTCCTTCTTTCTTTAGAGAACGATGCCAGTCCTCCTAGAACTTCTTTAAAAAATCTGGTGCTTATGTTGCTGCTTCCCGCAGCCAGATTGGCAATAACCCATACTGAAAATAATCAAAAGTTCCTATGCGGAAGAATGTGGAAGAAATTGCGCACCCAAGGCTGGCACTTTTGTCACGTTTGGCTTGTATGGAACATTGCTTTATTTGACGGTCTGGTCAGACACAGACTTGGGGTGTGGGGCGAAGCCAAATCGGACAGTTTTGAAGCGGGCTGGTCTCCATTTTTTGAATACAGGAATAAATAGGGAGAGTCTTATAGAAGTCCTCCCATGACTTACTCCTCCTTCTGGTTGGGCTATAAAGACTCATCTTAGAATCTTGGCTATATGTTAACTGCATCTCTGTATTTTTTTTAAATATTGAATATACTCCATGTGTGATTTTGTTATCGTTTGTATGTGGTATGTGTTAGTTTGTGCATACAGTATGTTTATGATAAATCAATAAAGCTTATTTTCAAAAAGAGAGAAGGTTTTATGTTGCTTCCTCTGTGCGGGCAGCTATACAGAACGCGGAAGGGCAAAATCCTGCTGAGCCCGGCAGGCTCTGGAGGGGGCGTCAGCTATCTCCCCCACCCCCAACTTTCAAACCGTCCTTCTCCACAGCTTGCAAGAATCGAGGACGGGTCTTTCTTCCGGCGCTGCTCTCAGTGTGCCAGCCTCCACAGAGCAGAACTGTGAATAAGAAGAAGGGAGTCAGCAGCAGAGCTAACAGCCAAACCCCGGGGTCTGGGGCTGACGGAGACTGAACCCCATTATCCAAGCGGGGAGTTGAAAGAGAATTCCAGCAGATCAGCGAAAGGAGGAAAACGAGGATTCGTAAATAAGTGTATGACTCTCTGTTTAGAACAGGGCTGCAATGCCAACTGACAGGATAATCGTTTTAAATTTTTTTTTTAAAGAAAATACAGCAGTCCTTGGTATGCCTACCCAAAAGTAGGTTGCCCCGAGTTTTACTCTTAGGCATGCAGATAAAGGCGGCAGCAGCAACAACAACTAAAAAGCAGGTTATTATTTTCTAAAATGGTGTTCCTCTTAAAGAGCTGGACTCCGTCTTCACGGCGGGGTGGCCCCCTTCCCCCAGCCCCACCGAGCAGGGCCTGCGAGATAGTTCTCTTCAGAGACCCGCAGTGACCAACTCGGGCCCGGCTCTCAAACAAAGCCAGTGCCGCGTCTTCGCAGCAGAACTCTTGCCTTCCGGGCGCAAATGTATGGGAATGTAATCGTTGCCTCGGCTGATCAATTTACCTAAAGCCACACGACCCATTCGACCAGGGGTGCCTTGACCCGAGGGGCTGCGCAGGCATTTCGGAACGCCCCGCTTCCTCCACCGGCGTTTGCAGGGATTTCTAAGGGATCGATCAGCAGGGCGTGTTTTCATGCTCCTCCTAATTTGTAGGCACGCGCCCCTTTCATTTGGCAAAGCTGTTCCTTTTTGCTATTTCATGCTTGGGCTGCTCCGTTTTACAGATCCTTGCCTCGGTCCGGAAGCCCCTTTAGGCGCCCGACCAGCCCTCTGCCCTGCCAGTTACCAGTCCACCTTGGAGCGAGTTCATTTTGAAAAATAAGAATTGGCTGCCCCTCGCTCTGCCTATCTCTGCGAGGCCACCCCTTTGCCCTTCAACCTGCCCCCTGCCCCCCGTTCTTCCTGTGGCCCCTCTTGAGACGCAGACGGCCCCTCGACCCCACAGTGGGAATGCTTAGAAAGAAAGGGGAGGGTTTGGCTAAAAGTGGGGGGAATGGACGGTGTCTTCAAAGAGTCTCCAAATATGAACGCTATGAGGGCATCCGATTACATCCGCCCTACTGAATCGGGGGGCGTTCATCTCCCCGCCCCCGCTGCCAACGGTGCCCCTCTGCAATCCACAAGAGACACGTATGCCCATTCCTGCGCATGAGAAGAAATGGAGCCAAGGCGGACAGCTTCACCAATGGCTACGCCGTCGGCGGGGGACCTTTACATCGGGCAGGAGCAAGCTCGACCGCTGCTGCTGTTGACCTCAAGGAAGGCACTGGACTTCAGCCCAAACGACTTTCGATGTTATCCGATGTGGACTTCAGCGCACAGGGATGGTGGGCTTCCCCATCGCGGGGACCGATGGCAAAATGACATATTTGGTTCTAGTTCATGGAAGGCTTCTCGTCGCTTTGGCTGCAGGACCCTCACAGGACTATGCTGGAGAGGCTTTCATTCAAAAGGACCACCTTGTACCTGAAAAGCGCATAAGGTGACCACCTTCAGAACATCCCTCCACCCCTGACTGACCAGCTGTTACCAGCGGACAAAGGGCAGGTCCGCGTCAGTTCCAGCGACTGAAGCCCTCACCTATCCATAGGTCAGCCTCTAAAGAGGCATATTTTACAGCTTTCCACCAGCTTTTCTGGTACCGCCACCATGCCACGAGAAAAAGGGTGTTTAGATTTTTTATTTTTTAAAAAAATAGGTAATTTCCTCAGGGGTATTTCCAACAAGGTCCAAGGAATTCCAGCCCACCAAAATTAGCGCTTTGCACGCCAGCTTCTGTTGCTAGCAACGATTCCAAAATCCGTAGGTGGGCAAGATCTTCGCTGGAACCAACCAGACAAGGGAGCGAGCTGCCCTCTTCTCCAGAACTTGAAAGCTGGCCCAGTATTTTATTGGTCCCAATAAAAAGCACTGCCCAGCTGTCTATTTTTGATTCCTCCACCCATTCAGGGACCAACCCGGTCTCCTCCCCCCACTTTCATACTAGCAATAAAGTTATTCAAAGGCTAGGCATCAAGCTCTGGACTATCTGTCTTTATGTATTACCGCAATCACCTTTCCTTTCCTTTCCTTTCCTTTCCTTTCCTTTCTTTTACTGGAACCTGGGATCTCTAGTCTGTCATCACCGCCTCCAATTTTCAAAGAGGCTCGAGTACAAATAGCACCGAAACAGCAGGTGCCTAGATGTGGGGGTGATTCACGCGGTCTCCCCTACACACCCAGAGTGAGGGGGCCGCCATCTAATCCAGCAGGGGCCGGATAGGGTTAAGTTAGTGCTAGGGTCGAGGAACAGAGCTGGCCGCCTCCGCCGCCTTCTCGTCCTGCTCCAGGCGCCCCCTCCCCAGGTATGGCCCTCTTCCCCTCCTCATTTCCCCCACTCATTCCGCGCCTAGCCCCCCAACCACCGCAAAGGGCCGAGTGCAGCATTTGATAATGAGGGAACTTATGGAAGCTTGCAAAACACTGTAAATAATTTAGCATTGTATTTCAGGGGGAAATCGCTATCTTAAATCACCCCCATATAAATTGCAGACTTATAGGAGGGGCTGGTGAGCCCACGTTTTTAAAGCAGCCATATTCAAAGAGACATAGATGTCTGGATTAATTATTCATCGGCTGGTGCCTTCCTTCGTTTCTAACTTATTATTAATTAGGCGCCTCCAGTCTTTGCGCAGAAAGCTCCGCCGAGTCGGTTGCAGCTTTAAATATGAATTAAAAGCAAATCCAAGTGACTGTAATGCGAAAATTATTCCGTGTCTTCCTTGGCAGAGATGAAGAGGCCCACGGATCAATACTGTGGAACTCGGCTCCGAAAGGACAGCGGGGTTATTGATAGCTTATCTCCATGACGTTAATGATTGGAAAAGGGAAACAAAAACCCCAACCAACTTAGGAACTTTTTATCTGCCGTCGAAGTCCCGGCCATCAAGCATGAATTAAGTGGGCTGGGGAGAGTCGTCGGGGTATTATTTATGACCAGACCGGATAAACTCTTCTGCCCCATGCCTCTGAACTTCTGGGGGCCTCGGCTCCCCTAATGGGGCGGGGAGGAAGGAGGAATGCAAGACCCCCAAGCAACAGGTTGCAAGGCTAGGGAGGCAGGCAGGCAGGCAGGCAAGGAGCGAGGGAGAGACCAGGCGCATCGCCGTCGAACAGGAGAAAACGACGGAAAGACGGAGGGAAAGAGTCGGGTCCCCAGGCCGGCTGTCGGCGCGATCCAAAAGGAAGGGAGCGGAGGAAAAGCGGGACCAGCCTGAGTAGGGAGAGGAAGGTTCGCTTCTAGGAGTGAGAAAAATCAAATGAGCTCGTCGCGTCAACGCAAATTGTATCAAACAGGAACTGCACATTTATCAGCAGCTAGAACCGTTTTTCGTTGTTCCAAAGGGCACGCTGCTAGCAGAAGGTTTTTTTAGGAGCTGAGACTTCCGGTTCGAAAGCGCTGGCCTTCCCATCCAAACTGGGCTGGGAACCGGGCAGAAATCTGCTTACAAAAAACAAAACAAGCTCTCTTCCATAAAATGACAGACTATATTTTTCACCCGATCATCTTTATCGTTATTAATTCTATGCCCTTTGGAATCTGCCTTGCTGCCTTTCATACTTCCAGTACTCAATTTAATTTAATTTAGCAGTTTAAAACACAGAGACTGCCCAATATTTATGAGTAGCTCACAAAAGTTGAAAGGCCAGATCCGAAACATCGGGGGTTTTGCGTTGGCAACCCTGGAGACATCGAAGTATTTGGATGTAAACCGATTTAGCTCTGTCGAACTTAGTATTAGGAATTCTGAATCTGATCCCTATCAGCCGAGCGCGAAAGAAGAGTTGACCAAGTCAGAACGGGGTAACTGGAAGGCAAGGGTTTCAAACTGCTTAGAGGCCATATGCACACACACCTTTTCTCTGACAAGTTTAAGGAATACCTCCGATGCAGACAAAGAGAGCCGTAGGCCACTTGTCCCGTTGATTGCTGCCCAACGGGAGGGCCGGGGCATCGCTCCTCTGAGTTAGGGATTGTGTCACGCAAACACCGTGACCACAGTCTCCTTTCCCCGCTACCCACCGGGGCTCGCTAGGAGGCCCGCAAACCCCCATCTCTCCAGTCCCCCAGGAATGTGGGTGGCTGTGAAGCTGCCCGGGTCCCCTGTTCCCTTTCGTTCCTCCCTCAGGCACAAGAAAATATAGATCTTGTAATAAACCAGCAAATGGACACGATTGTGCTTACAAATCTCTGGCTAGATTTCTCTTTATCCTCAGTTTTGTATCTTTTAAAATATTTATGGCAATATAATTGCTCTACATAGATCTGTCTTCTGAAAATCAATTTTCTCTCTTTCTTTCCTGTAGGAAAAGTGAAAGCCTTTTGAGGTGCGGGGTGCATAACATCGTTCGCTTGCTTATAATGACTGGGGTCGGCGTGGCGGCCTCAGAAATATTGCCTGGTGCGGGCTATGGAGACTGGCTGGTCGCAGTTCTGGATTTCCTCCCCCTGTCCTGCAGGGAGAGGAACAGCATTCGTTTCAAAACAGCCTCGGACATCCACATTTATTTTATGTTATTGCTTACTCGAATGATAATGAAAAAAAGGGGGGTCCTCTCAGCGCATTTTTGGAGGTGTCTAGCCGGGGTTTTTTTGGTTTTTTGTTGTTGTTTTTTGGAAGAGGCTACATTTGGGGCAAAACTGTATCATTCCCTTAGAGGGGAATTTTGATGTCTGTCTAAATAAACCAGGTAATCTGTGTTTGAATGTAAAACTAGTTGTTATACATCTGGGAAGGTTTGGTGACATTTCCTAGTTTTCGGGAGGTCCGAGGTTATTCGCGTTCCCGGGAGCATCAAGGGAGCTCCACCCCTGAGTTGGCAAGTCGTAGCCCCCTCCTCTCAACCTCTCAAGAAGGACGGGGAGGAGCACTAGGACGGTGCCGTTTTCTGAAAGCGAGTTAAGCGGAACCGACGAATGCGCTTAAAATTCTCCATCAAACCTTCAAGCCCCCTTTAAATAAGCTCTTTTGCACGGGACACGCCAGAACAACCTTTTCCCCGATGTGGTTGAGACTAGAGCAAGAAAAATGGCTGTAATTTGCTGACCCTGATAAGGAGATCTAAGAACAGAGAGGAATTGAAAACTCACTCGTGTGCACTGAGTTTAATTGTCACGACATTTTAATCGCCAGAGATTGCGTCACGTGCAAAGTTCCCTTTCCAACATTACACCGGCCTTCGTTGCGGTAAGAACGGCTGGACTGGATTTGCAATGCTAATTAACGATGCAAATGCTTTGCAATTTACAATATCTGCCACCTTGAAACAATTAGTTTCCTAACCCTTCATGTTTTAAAATCTGCTGTAGAAGACAGCGCTATTTCGACAACAACAACAACTAAGCAAAGGAAACTTCACATAATTCCGCCAAACCACAACTTGGAATTGGATTTATTTGGTGTTTGTCTTGCTGTGAAGCCAACGGAGCGCACGGATTTGTTTCTATTAATTCGAAAACAAAAATTTGAATGTAGCTCCTTCAACGTCACGTTGGGCATCAAAAGCAGAGGGGAGGGAGGGCGCTTTTATATCAGGTGGTGGGTTGAGGCTGGAGGAGGGGGCTGTGCTGCCACTTAGAAACAAAGCCCCCAAACACTCTCCTCTCCTGCGTTTTCCCCCCTTTTCTTTTTTTATAATGACAGGAAACGTGGCATGGTTAGTGGTGGAAATCAGCTTTTTTGAGACATTCGCAAAGACACACGCCTCTCCCGAAGAGATCCGTGGACGGCGAGCTGATTCGCTCCCACGTCCATCTGAACTGCATTCACAAGACCGCGAAGCGCCAGTGCGGCGTTTTGGCCTCGGCTCCTCGGTTCTTTCCAGGGTAAAGAAGCGGAGTCGGCTGCCTGCTTGCGGGTTAGCGGCTCCTACAAGAGCTGGGAGGCCATTGCCGGGGAGAAGGAGCCACAGGTGGCCCGCGTGGCCCTTTGTTGAAGCCGATGTGGCCCGCAGGAAGACGCGACGGACCGAGAAGTCCTCGCCTGCCCGGAGCTGGGCCCCTCACGCAGGGCTGGGCCTTCTGCTGCCTTCTCTTCCTCCGGGTGCGCCGAGCAGAGGCGGCTGCGGCTCCACAACCGGCCGCATTCTCCTGCGGCCTCGCTGGAGCAGGGCAGAGGGCCGGCCGGCCTCGACTGGAAGGGGAAGCTCGGGCAGAGCAGAAGTGGCTGCTCTGGGGCGGGCGAGCTGGACCTCCCCTTCGCGGCTAGCCTTCAAGGCGCTTCCACCTGCTTCTGTACTTCCCCTCGATCTTCGAAGGTCCCTGCTGCCTTTTATAGTCTACTTCTCTTCTATTCAGAGCCCATCGGCTCGCACCTGTGATGGTCGGTGGTCCACTGGCCTATGTGGGACTGTTTTGCGGCTGGGCATCTTATGTTAAAAGCGCAGCAAAGAGTGGGACGGGGCGCTTTCTTTGCAAAGGGCAAGCGAGGCGGGGAGGCGGTGTGAGAGAAAGGCGAAAGCCGAGGCCGGTCCCAGGCTCGGGAAAAGCTCGCCCCCTCTGTCCCTGCGGGCAGCTTCCAGGAGCGCGTCGCGAGCGGCAAACCCGGAAGACTTTGCCTGCCCAGAGGCCGAGGAAGGCGGCGAGGCGAGCCGCAAAGCCAGCGCAGGAGAGGGCCAGGACCCCCTGCTCCCTCCCGCCGGTTCCCCGCAAGCAATTTCTGCAACGGCTCTGCAAAATGCTCGGCCGGCTTTAGGGCGTAGGAGGAGCAGGAGAGGGCAGCATCTCTGTAGATCTGCGACCCCCGCTTTGCTGAAAACGCCGCCCCGACTGGAGCCATAACTGGGGTGGCAATTCTGAGCCCCGCCTCAAGCCCTTGACTCCCAAGCGACTGGGCCCGGCTGCCTGAGCTTTCCTTGCCCGCAGGTCGGCTGCCGGGAATCAGCGTGCGAGACAGGCGCAAGAAGCAGCGAGGAACGAGCCCCTCCAGCCGAGGGCAGCAACCTATTGTCTGGCAGGGGTGGATTTCCAAGGGGACGCCGGCTGTCTTTGCCTCCTAGCCCAGGGGCTCCAGAGCCGCTCTCCACTCCAGGCCGAGCACGAGGAGACTCCTTAAGCAGCTCAGCAGGGCGCTGGAGGGGCACGGCAGGGGGGTGTCTCGCACCCGAGGCAGGGCGCCCTTGAAGAACCCCCCCCCCCCCGCGCTCTCCCTGCCGGACCTCCGGGGAAGTCAGAAAAAAGCGCCTCAGACTTTATACCCCGAATTGCAGTGGGGCGGGGAGAGAAAGTGAGCGGAAGGCCCCCGCCCCCCGAGCTCCGAAGCACAGCCAAGGACGGCGGAGGTCGCCCCCTGGCCATCAGCTCCATCTCCTGCAAAGGGAGCTAACCCAACCCGTCGCAACCTTGTTTTGGGCGCATCTGAACTGCCCCCCCCCCCCAATTGTCAGCAGCATTTCTGAAGGTCTTGACCCGGCTGGTTGTCGGTGCTTGTGAAACGCCTCCTCCGAGGCAGCTTTTGTCCGGATGATTTCAAGCGTCGGCGAGGCGACGATGGAACGAAAGCCACGTCGCGGCCAAGCCGAGGAGGCAGACGGGGCCCTCTCTCCCCCTCTCCTCTCCCCCACAGGCACGACAGCTCCAAGGAAAGGAAGCTCGGGGCGCTGGACCCTCCGGCCCTCCTCCCCGGCCGCCTGAGCGAAGCCTGCGCGCGCACTCGGTCTCTGCAGGGTCCGCGCCGGCGACTGGCAGAGGCTGAGCCTCTCCCGAGGGCCCGGCAGGAGAGGGAAGGAGTTCGCGACCCCGTCTCTCCTGAGCTTAGCTAAGAAGTCCCCCCACCCCCCTACGTGCCCCTAACTCCCCGTCACTCCGCAGAGTAGGCTTACCCCCGAGGTCCACTCCGTGACCCTTGAGCGGCAAGGCCGGCAGGCCGTCAGCCTCGAAGGCCCTGGGCGCAGGAGAAGGGCGTGCCATCCCGTCGGAAGTGGGGCGTGGGCTCTTCCAGGCGGCCCGGCGCAGTGGCCCTGGCTAAAGCCCCAGCCGCTAGGCTCCCGGGCTGCAGCCTGGACTCCAGCTCGGCGGTCTAGCTGGGTCTCCTGCTCTCTCCCGTCGGTGCCGCGCGCAGACGGCCTCCTCCGGCTGCTGCCTGGTCTCTCCTGCTCGCTGGGCAGCGCTTTTTGGCCAGCCTCGCCTCGCCTGGGGAGAGAGGCGACGTGCCTGGAAATCGCCGCCCGCCTCGTTATGGATCTGCGAGGCTAAGCGAGGAGAGATCAGTATGCAAATAGGCTGAGCTGCAGCAATCGAAGCGTTCGATACCGAGGAGTCGCTGCTGCTGCTGCTGCCCGACGGAAGGGGCTGCCAGGCGAGCTGGCTGGAGCTGCTCGCCCGGGCCGCCCCCTCCCGCCACGTCGGGCTGGGCAAGGGGCTTCTCGGGGGCTTCCCCGGGCCCCTCGCCCGGCCTGCACGTTGGGTGGAGAGGCTTTGCCCTCCGGGATTCAGGGCACGCGAGGGGGGAGGGGAGCGAGAGTGTCAACGGCAGCGGCGGGGCCTCGGCTGAGGTGCTGCTGAGAGGCGGCCGGGAGCTGAGCTGCAGCCGGATCGATACCGGCGCGGTAATTGCAGAGCAGCTCCAGCGCCGCGGAGGATGGAAGGGGGGCCGGTGCGCTCAACAGCTGAGACTTGGGCGGAAGGCGCAGGCAGAGAAAGGGAGAGAAAAGGCTGGCTCAGGCCAGACAGAGGAGTCACCTTGAAACAGGGCCACCAGACTGCGCCTCCGCAAAGGGTCTCCTCTGTGTGCTCCAGGGGGTCTCCCCTCTGTCCCCCTCCTCCCAGGATCCATCCCATCCTGGAAACGACCTGGTTGTCCCCTTTCCCATTTGGTTTCTGTCCTGACCTCTGGCTCTGCCCAGTCCTTTGCCAAGAAGCAACGGGTCCTTTCAGAAGATGAGGCCTCCCCGACTCTTGAGACGGTAGCTTTGCCTCCAAGCTCTTCTGGCCTGTAGAGAGCCAGCTGGGCCTTCTGCTCCTCCTGGGTTTTTGCAAAGAGCCCCTATTTCCCAGGAGAGTAGGGAAAGGAGAGGGCTTTGAGAACAGGAAATTCCCCTTGATGGGACAGATTCTGCAACCAACAAAATCCAATAAAAAGCCTGTGATGTGGGGTGGGGTGGAGAGGATGCACCCTAAGCTTTATTATTATTATTTGTTATTTTTATTAAATTTGTATACTGCCCCTACACCCATAGATCTCAGGGAGGTTCACAACATAAAATCACACTATAGAAATCAGAAAATACATAATAAAAACAAAAACAAATACAACCTAATAACCCTCCCCTTCCCACAACACATGTTAAAATTATATTGGATGTTTTAAGAGGAATGTTTTTGCCTGGCGCCTAAAGGTGTATAATGAAGGTGCCATCCAAACTCCCCTGGGGAGAGCATTCCACAGACGGGGAGCCACTGCAGAGAAGGCCCCGTTCTCGTGTTGCCACCTTCTGGATCTCTTGAGGAGGTGGCACATGAAGAAGGGCCTCAGAAGATGGTCTCAGGTCTGGATAGGTTCATATGGAGAGAGACGGTCCTTAAGGTATTGTGGTCCATTATAGGTCAAAACCAGCACTTTGAATTGTGCCCAGAAACTAATTGGTAGCCAGTGCAGTCGGACAGAATCGGTGTAATATGATCAAACCATCTTGCCCCACTGAGCAAGTTTCTGAACTGTCTTCAGAGGCAGCCCTACATATAACACATTGTAGTAATCTAACCTAGAGGTTACCAGAGCATAGACAGCAGTAGTTAGTCTGTCCCTGTCCAGATAAGGGCACAGCAGGGCCACCAACCAAAGCTGATGGAAGGCACTCTGTGCCAATGAGCCCACTTGAGCCTCAGGTGACAGCTTCAAGTTAAATCAACCTTCTCTTACCTTCCAAGTTTAAAGCTGCAAAGATGGTACTCTGCTGAGCTCACCCTCATAAACAAGGAAGGATAATAACTAAATAATATAGCCTCTCTTAGTGCCTAAATCCATTCCTACAGTATGTGATGAGATTCACCAATATTTTGCTTTAGTTTTTCATTTTCCTTTTGATTGTGCCTGGTCACTGTTTCTCCCATTTTCCTACATAAGCTGCATAATTAGATTTCTAGGTTATACTGGTTTCTGGACACACTCATGGGGTATTTGATTTTGCCCCATTTGGGCTACACTACTGGTTTTAGTGTCTGGGAATTCAGGACAGCGGGGAGGTGAAGCAGTCAGGCAGGATACTTGGGGTTCAGCTGCCAGTCCCCCTCTACTCCAAAGCAGACCACTGCAAGGCAGTGGGAATCCTGCACCTCTTGCCCTAAGTAAAAACCAAGCCACTGGTAGCAAGAAGAGAGAAGTGGCTGTCCTTTGTAGTGATATACCCCACTGAGTTAGCCCTGCAGTGTGGTGTGACTGCCCTTCACACCCATTTTCCACATCCTTCCACACTGGGATAACTGTGCATTTATTCCTACTCTTCACTTCCTGTTCTTGAAACAGTTCCTGATTCCATAAGAGGACCTGTCTAAACTCATGAGGAGTTTGGAATGGGGAACTTTGGCAAAAGCTTTTTGAAAGTCTGGGTTCTCGATGTAAGCCTGAAGGTGGCTCCCCAGCTATGTTTGATCCTGCTGGCCACAGGATTTCTGCCACTGGCCACCTAGCCATTGGCCCAGTTATTCCATTTTCACCACCTCCTTGGAATACCATGGGGCTGACACAGCTCTAGGCCTATTTCTGTTCACCTGCTTTGGGATTCTCAGACTGCAGAGTAGTTTATAAATTCTTAATAAATAAATCTGAAAGAAACCAATCTTGTAAGACAGAGGCACTTACAGGCAATTGCACACAGCCATTCCTTCCAAGAAAATAGGCAGAAGTGGAGTTAATTAGATTATTTTATTTAAATTGAGAATTTGGGCAGTAATAATAATTAAGTATCAACAAAAATGGTCTTAAATGCCTATTTGTCTAATGGCCCCCCAGGGTGTCTTTGTTCTGAACAGACTAAAAAACACACACTCTTTAACAGCAAAATAAGCCCGTTATCTGGATCAATACAGCTAGAGGACTCCATTGATTACAAGAACACCATTCTTTAATTATTAACCCTTAAGGCTGTTCTTGGCAGAAGCTGCACAGGACAATTCTGCATAGGACCATGGCTGCATGTGTAGAGGACCAGAGCACATGGGATGGGGGTGGGGCCGCAGTGGAAAGGGGCGGAACTTGGAGGGATCTGATGTGTCATTGGTGGACCTGGAGGCACAATCTCACAGCTGGAGTTTGGAGTGGGATATTGTGATCTTAACAAGTCAACAGGGGGAAAGGATATGAAAGGACAAGATCAAGGAAGGTCCATGGGCATAGCAAGTGGAAAGAAGCCGCAGAGTGGCAAAGGGGAAGGGGAGAAATCATAACCCAAATTATCATATGTGCCAGAAGTGGGATGCAGATTGAGAGAAGGAGGGGCACAAGCGCCTTACAGGGATTGGATGAGAGGCTCCCTTCTTGGAATAAAACTTCACACAACGCCAGGGATTTATGACAGGGCAGGATGCTGGTGCTAGGAAACGGGCTGCGGGGAGGCTTGGAATTAAGGGAAACACAAATCACAGCCCACTGTTGGTTCCTGCATTTAGCTATCCATGTTAACTTCTTTTCAGCCTTACATCAGAGTCCACACTGGAATTTAATGCGGATTTGAAGCTGTTTTCTTCTCCTCTCTCTCTCTTGGGCGGGGGATTAAGTTACTGGATGGATTTTGGTTTGTAGCAGACAATATATTTAAACTTAATTTATATTTCCAGTCCTGGGACCATTTGCTGGGACAGAACATTGGGCTTCCAGCAACAAGGTATAATCCAGGCATCCCTCAGGCTATGAACCTGATCTTTCAGGGCGACTGAAATCCCTACAGAGTAGACGTAAGTTCCTGATAGGGAAGTGTCAGTACACAGTAGCTTCAACTTATTGATCCCCATCCCGACCATCACTGCCTCCAGACATGAGTCATGTGCCTGCACGGCTTCACTTGATTCAGATGACATGGAGAAGAGCTGGATGTCATCAGTGTAACTGGTGACACCTCACCCCTCATCCCCTGATGACTGTTTCCAATAGTTTACAACAATGTTTCAAAGTATGGAACGGGGAGGCATGATGTACATAGCAGTGCATCCAGCTCAACACTTTGTTTTGGTGTTATGCCATCATCAAGCACATTGCCCATAATAGCCAACATGTGTATGGTATATATAAAGAAAGCACCAGGTCTGCATATCCCACAAAAAGTTTTCACCCACTCCAAATCATACACTGACACGACCAGGAGACACACTATGCCAGAACCAGGGTGGAGAGTCACTTGTGTTAACTTGATTAATATGATTATTGCCTTCATTATTTAAAAGCTTGATTTTGCTCTGGTTCTGCTGCGGGAAAGTCCTAATCCTGACTAATCAATCCTCTGTGTGATGCTTTCAGAATTCATTTAGCAATGATGCCCTTTGTGGATGACTTCCATATTTTACATAGGGCAACCCACGCTAAAAAGACCAAATGTGTTTGTACTAGATATGCATTGTTGGTAACAAATTTCTCTTCCATTATTAAATCATCTGTGCATTTGAGAATTTCCCTCTCCTTTTGAGGAGAGGAGAGATTTAATCTTCAAAGGGCATTCTGCGGCTTGACATTTAGAGCTCACATGAACCCACCTTAGGCCCAACTTTGCTAGCTGTGAGCTCTCCATTTTTGGATTGGAATAGAAATAGGCTTGAAACTCTATTTGTTTCTATATCACCAGTCATAGGTGTTATCTCGTGCCAAAGATTGTGGGTGCCTGCAATGAAGGGCTTCGACTTTACCCATTGACTTTGCGGGGGTCCAGCCCCACAAATATATTATTGTGGGTGCCGAAGCACCCATGGCCCCCTGGAGTCGGCTCCAGTGTCACCAGTGGGTTTGATGCAGATCTGTCCAAGTCCATTCCATGGGTGCCTTACATCCTACATGGAATCACTTGCAGCAATTGTCAGTTTTGCCTTGTACTCAGAAGAAGGAATGGCTGTGCCCTACAGCAGTGGGTCAGGGAACTGACCAGTGCAGGGGAAACTCTGGATTTAATCTTCAGTGGTGCAGTAGAATCAGAAAGCAAGAGAATGTTTGTGCAAGTCATGAGGCGACAGAGGAAGAAAAGAGCCACTGTATCTTTGGAGGCACATACGTCCAGCCTTTCACAATGGACCCCATCATGGTCTAATTGTTGCTTTACCACAAACTGCAATAATACTTAGGTAGCAAGGAAGGGACACATCTAGGCTGGAGGCTGCAAGAGCTGGTTCTGAGCTCCTACAGCAGGCAGGGATCAATAAATCAATGTGAAATGTTTGTTGGCTCCAAAATGGGTAGAGAAGCAGCCAGTTTCAAGCTGCCTGGGGACGGATGAATAGTCAGCAGGCCATCTGCAGGAGGACCCAGGGCAATTGCTCACCTTGAAATGAGATCAGCAGAGCCTAGCAAGTTTGGAACTGGGCCTGGGCCAAAGGGTCAGA